CTATCTCAGAATTACATACTGAGTGAGTCATAGGAATGACTAAAGCAGGGGCTGCTAACACACTCAATGGAAAGGGCCAAATTCTATTTTAATTATGTTCCATGGGCTGCAGTACAAATTTAGGACTCCGTATCCCCCTCGATCCATAGTACAACTCCCATTGATGTCAAGGGGGGGATTTGCATAAAGATCCAGGGTAGAATCTGGCTTTTACGTAGTTACTGAACTTTTAGTTATTACTTATTCCCGTATATGTTCAGTATCCTTGTGAATCTCTGATGCTGTCAGCAGACTGAGGAAGAAATCAAGACATCGGTTTAAATCTGGAAGGTTTTCGATGAAGCCATTAAGGCTATTTGTTATGCAGCACTAACGGGCTCAACACTGCACAAGCAAAATAAAGCACAGGCAGCCTTAGCTCCAAAAGAGCTTAGAGTGGAAAAAGTAGGCATGGGCAAGATAGGACACACTGAAAAACAGAAGAGGAAAAATAGGAAGGCTTTTTTTTTTTTTTGGTTATTACGATTAATAGAAGTTCCAGTCTCTGTTATTCAGTCCTCAGTGTCAGTGACCAGGACATAGGCGATCTAGCCCAGTGGTTGGAGCAGGAGTATGTAGCCAGGAATTGGAGCTGAGGGTCAGGACTGGGTTACCTGGAATGAGGCAAGGCAGGGGTAAGGCAGGAGCAGGGCTAGGAACAAGTAGACACAGGAGCTATCACAACTGTGGGTGAACGCTTTGAGGAACCACTGAACTGCTGCAGAGCTTAAGAAAAGGTCTGCTGACCAGTGTTCCCTCTAATTTTTTACGTCCATGTGCGGAATGAATTTTTTTATGTGCACCAATATGGAAGTGATGTGTGACACGTCACCTTCATATTGGTGCACATAACAAAATTCATGTGGTGGGGGTGGTGCCGAGGGATTCAGGGTGCAGGACAGGGTTCAGGGCTGGGGCAGAGGGTTGTGGGGGGCAGGGATGAGGGCTCTGCCTAGAGGTGCAGGTTCTGGGGTGGGGGCCAGGGATGAGGGGTTCAGGGTGCGCGGGGAGCTCAGAGCTGGGGCAGTGGGTTGGGGTGCAGACTCTGGGGTGGGGCCAGTGATGAGAGGTTTGAGCTGCAGGCTGCCCAGGGGCTGCGGTGGGGACAAAGGACTCCCCCCAGCCCTCTCTTGCTGCAGCAGCTCGGGGCCAGGGTAGAGGCGCCTCTCCCTGGCTGAGGCAGCTTTGGTGGGCCTGGGCTGAGGGAGGGGCTCTTCTCCCCCAGTCGTGGCAGGTCCATGCTGGGGGAGAGGCATCTCTCCCTGCCACAGCCCTGAGTAGGGCTTAATAGGCAGCTGCGTGGCCACGCAGCTTAAAGGGAACTTAGCTGCTGACTCTTCCAGCCAATCAGGCAGTGTAGCCAATCAAGCAGACTTCTACAGGCCAGCTATGCTCATTAGGTAGCCCAGAGACTGGCTCTGGTGCAGGCCCTGCTTCCAGACTGTCTTTGCTGCAGGCCGATTCCTGACACTTAGTCTCTCAAGAGCATCAGCAAGATTCATAGAATCATAGATTATTAGGGTTGGAAGGGACCTCAGGAGATCATCTAGTCCAACCCCCTTCATCTAGTCCAACCCCCTTGTCAGATAGTGTCAATTTTAGAAGCACATTTTGTGATGTGGATACTTGTCCTCTGGGTGCTGAGCTGAGATTATCAAACTTGTTTCACGTAGTCCACCAAACAGTAGCAAATTTTTGTCACCATTGACCTGAGCTGGATTTGAACTGGTGAGCTAGAGTTAAAAGGCTCTACATACCATTACCAGTCCAAAAGCCATGCTATCCCCTACTGATGGAGCAATGTATTTCTAAACAGTAAGAGCCTGATGAATAATCCAAGCTTCCAGCATTGCTATCCCCTGTGAAAGTTACAGAGGTGATGGGAATTTAGGAAAAAAAGTCATGTAAACCGAGCAAAAAGATCAATAGTTGGGGAAACCTGGGGATTCTTGAAAGTTAGGGTGAGTGCTGCCAACTGGAAGTGGCCCTCAAGGCAGGATTTATCTTTTTATGGCTGAAGTTTTGTAATTTGGTTTAAAAAATAAATAAAAGCATGCACACTTCTTCTGGGAGAGGGGATAAAGGGAAAAAACCTGTAGTTTCGCCCCTTTATCCAGCTAACTGAAGGCTTGATCCTGCAAACACTTACACTTACTACCCAGTGTAAGTAGTCCCACGTGAGGTGTTATCTCAGGGCCAATCCTGCAGTCAGCTGCATAGCATGAAGCCCTCTGCATCATTAAAGACTCTACTTCAAGGGTTCACTTGCTTGTTAAAAGTGAGAGCAAAAATCTTTACCCCTAACCCAGAAAAGGTGGGGATTTCCATTTCTCAGGGTCTCTCATGTACAGTCTATCATAGGTTTCTGTATTTATTTATTGGTATTAGTGATATGGGCTTTATGATAGCCAGTGTTGATGTAAATTAAATACTCGCTTTATTCCCTCCCACTGTCCGCACAAAAAGAAACAGGTGCTGTCTACTGTGCAAGTTGCCACATCCCCACAAGCTCCCAAACTAACAGGAGGTTGCATATTGAATGAAATACTTACATGAAAACTTCCAACATTCACCTGCCATCAAAGCCTTCTGTTTAACCAAAGGCATTTTTACCAGCAACAGAATGGCAAACTGAATAGGATTTTTCTTCTCTTGTTTGACTGGTTCACTTTGTCTGTAAAGTTCTAAGACGTCTGCTTGTGTTATTAACAAAACAAACACTAAAGCCCACCGGAAACATGAGTGTGGTTGTCTGTGCTCTTTTAAACCAATAGTAGCAAGAAGCTGGGTAGATCATTAGAGAGCCATTTATGCACCGCATTTGGGAGAAGCCACTCTTCAGCTTTTGCAAGCTTCTGATCCTGAATTTGTCTTGATGCCCATTTATGGCAGACAGAGAATCATAAATCTCACACAGGAGTGGGATTAGGTCTTTTGCTTTCTCAAAGAATCCTTTCTTAACAGCAGGAATAGTTTATTTACAGGCTTTTCAAAAGGTATTGATTGCAGTATCTGAGAACCTCAAACATTAATTAGGTACCTTATTCTGTATGGCTCAGCCACAAGAAAGCAACATTCCTCTAGTAACAGATAAAGTATAGGGTGTTTTAACCCTTTGTTCTCTCCCCACAGTGCTCCATGTTTTATGAAAAGGTAAAGTGCTATTAAGTAAGTCAGGGTGGGTTGAATGTCACTCAAAAAGGACAGAGGTAAGGTTGTGGGGTTGGGCTAGTGTGTATTGTAACTCTGTTTCCCAGTACAGGGGTTTAAGTTTGTGTTACCTCAACTGTATTATTTCCTGTTTTTCAGATGTCTAAGTGACAGTGAACATGACATTCTGGAAAAACACAAGTTAGCACTAGGCAACCTTAAGTCTGCATTAATGAAGTTTTTGGGCAATGAATTATATGATGCCATCTCACCCATCTGCTAGGATTGCTATACAAAGGTTCTCACTGTAACATTTAATGTTGCTGACAAATGGATGGAAATAAGAGGAAAGATTTGGTGAGTGCTGACCAATCAAGAAAGGGGTAAATACACGTAAACTGAGAAAAGCTGGGTGTTTGTACTTCAAGAGTGACTCCAGATAACTTACCCCTGTAACACAGTAAGAAGAGTGATTTGAGTGTAGAAACAAGAAATCGTGAGAAGGTGAAGAGACAAGATTGGTGTAATGCATTGGTGTCCCTGATCCAGCCTGCAATTCAGTGTAAACTGCCTACAGAAGAACATTACTATGGTTTTGCCATTGAGTAAAGTGACTATGAAATAGCGGTTATATTTCCTCAAGAGAGTAACAGAAAAGTAATCTAAAACAGTAGCACTGAAGCACTCAACTTCAAGAAAAGGGATTTTAAAATAATGAGGAAATTTGTTAGAATCAGCCTCAGGGAAAATAATTTAGGAAATTAAAAGCCCAGAGTAACAAAATGAAGGCTGCTCACTAATATCCTGTTAATTACAGAAGGCGTGCATTCCCCAGAACAAGAGTGTTAAAAGGATTAGAGATAGGAAAAAAGCTTGTATGGCAAGGTAACCAAGCTTACTCAGTTCAAAGCAAATACTAATGCAGCCAAAGCGACAATGATTGAACAGAACAAACTTTGTATGCAGTGTTGTTGTAGCCATGCTGGTCAGGATATTAGTGACCAGATGGGTGAAGTAATATCTTTTATTGGACCAACTTCTGTTGGTGAGAGAGACAAGATTTCGAGCTTTCTGACCGGAAGAGCTCTGCGCAAGCTCAAAAACTTGTCTCTCTCACTAGCAGAAGCTGGTCCAATAAAACATATTATCTCACCTTACCTTGTCTCTCAGAACAAACTTTGGCAGGAATATTAAGAGGTTAAGAAATGTGAATAGGCAAAGATAATGCAACTTGATTTTGTATATTGTCTCCATTAGATCTGCCACCCAAAAGACTTTCTTTGTGAGACCAACTGAAGACTAGCTATAGGTCACAGACCTGGTCTAGACAAGAAAAATGACCTATTGTTGTCAGCAGCAGGTGCAGCTGAATCAATGGTGAACCTGGTCAGGCTGCAAGCAGACAAAAAACTGTGCTCAGCCCTATTTTAGAAACAGAGGTTAATCTTTGGGAATGCTCCCAGCTAAATCAGTTGTCTTGGTTACAGGACTAGCTGCACCTTTGTCCCCTTTCTGGTCTCTAAGTGCACCCCGCAGCTTTTTCGCCTTGTGCCTTCATCTCTCTGAGGGTGGAATTCCATAATTTACCTGATCCTAGATGAAGCCCTGGGCTACAGCATCCTGTGGATCAACCATGCTTACCAAGCAGGTCTGAATGAGTTTGAGCACCAATGGTTCTTCCTTTTGAAAGCCCGTGACCAGTGGAGAATAGAATGACCAGACAACCTTTTAAAATCAAATTACTGTTTACTTTAACAGTAGGAACAAAGCATTTAGAGAAAAAGGATTTTAAAACAATCTACATGCATCTCTATCTTGCCTTTCTGTGATGGTAAGCGGGACCCTAAATTCCCCGAACAACCCTCCCCTGGAGAAAAAGTATTCCTTTTTAAGCCTGCCCCTGTTCTTTTGATCTCCTGTGTTCCTGGGGATTTTTCCTGCCCTGATGTTGTCTCTTAACAACTCAAGTATTTGTTGGGAAGCGGCTTATCTTGAGCCATTCTTTTTCTTTCTTCCTTGTTTTCCTCTACAGCCCCCTGTAAACTAAACCAACCTATTCATACAGTAAACATCCCACTAAGCAGGTCAACATACAGTATTCATAAATTATTACAGAGCAGCTCCAAATGGATCACACCAGTGGTCAGCTGCAAACACACACGTTCTCAGCAATATGTGGACTGGTGGGAAGAAGACAGAAGAGAAGTCAATCCAAGACAAGCAGAGGGAGAAGGCAGAATATAAGTCTGCCAGATAGGCTGAAGTGAGTTTATGGAGGGGGATCTTGAAAATAGAAGGCATGAATGAATGGGGAGCCAGTGGACTTGTATGATGGAGGTGATTTATTTTTATGATAGATTCAGGATATTAAGCTTTTCATCTATCCTCTGAAACACTCCTGAGAATACAAAGGGTATACTGTATGCTCTTCCACTCACCTATTCCTCTGCTACCCCTCAGAGGTACATGCAGAATGTAGGGTAGGAGAGGCTGAAGAGAGCACACAATGACTGCTGGGAGGAAGGAGTTAGCAATCCTAGACTGAAAGTGCTACTGAAAGCTAAGAGCAATGAAGGGCTCTTCCTCCCTCTCCTGCACTGCTCTTCAGACATAGCTGGCCTGTCAGCTCACTCCAGTATGAGTCCCTCCCCAACCTTCAACTTTCAGTTCCTAAGTCTGTGGGTCCCCCCCACTTCTCCCTTCCCTCTGAACAGTACTCAGAGCTATGAACCCTCTGTGTGCCCACTATGTGGTCCTCCATCTTTGTGAGGGTAACTCTGGTATAGATGTGTTTTAGACTGTAAGCTCCTTAGGGTAGGGCCCAGGATAGAGACTCTGTGTTCTGCATAGTGCTGTGCACATTGCTTCTGGTCAACAACTAAAGAGCAGGTGGACTTCTAAGGGCTGGGAGCTACATGTTAAACATTAATTCAAATTTTAAAAAATCCTTTTGATTATAGGCTTACTTCTAAGGCACTACCCCATCTGTTTGTAGGATTACACTATCGGGTCCGCTGGCATGGACTAAAGTGACTTCTTTAGGCCATTCTAAGCTGTACCAGCTGCCAAAAGATCTAGGGCACAAAATAGCCTACCCATGCGCCCTTTTTTAGCCACTCCACCTACACCAGCAGTCAAAAGTCAGGGTGAAGTAGAAGCCACTATGGTGACTCTCTGATAACCTAGAGAACTATCTCTATACCGGGGAGATTCTCTAGGGGGCAGGCTGTTGGGTTTAGGGCTGCTTTGTGCTCATACAACAGTGTAAAGCAGATGAGAGCATATCCTGTGCTGGGGCCGAGTGGACATAGTACTATACAGAAGAAAGAAACAGTCCCTGTTTTACTCTAAACAGGTCGAGCCTACACTAATGTTTCCACCATTGCTAGCACCCAAGGAGCTGCACCTGTGCTAGCCAAATAATGTCACAATCACTACAAATTTTCAAGTGCAGAGACTAAAGTTTACCAAAAATTCAGAAGACACTAGAAATTCAGAGAGAAAATCATTAAAGCTTTTGAAAACCAGTAAGAATTAAGCCAATGATCTATGAAGCCAGATCTCCCTGGTTCACTTCATGTACACTAAACTTTTAAGAAGACAACAGATGGACCCATTTGACAGCTACTCAAACTGAAATTCAGATTGTGCACTCTTTCCACTTACGGCATTTGTGTTGACCCACACACAACATTCATTCAAGTATTACGCAGAATGGAAACAACAGCTTGGATCTCATCCTGTCAGTATCAGAGTCTCAGACAGTAAAAGACTCAAACAAATCCAGCCCTATTGAGCACTTACCCAGCCTTCTTTATTGACCTTTCAATAGTTCAAGGTTCAGTCAGGGTCTTCCACTCATTAAACTATCTCATTATTACTGGCAACATACAAAAAAAGCTATTTTAGACTAGTTGGTTAGTATAACAGGTACAGGCCCAAGGAAGGAAAATAACCTTTGTCAAAACTTTTGTCAAACAAAAACATCTTTAACTGCCTGCAACATTGGAATTTATTGCAAAAACAAAATCTATTCTAAGATTGGTTATATAGAAGCTAGTGGGTAAGCAATGTTCTAGAATAAGAACTCTCAGTGTTAAATATTTTCAAAATAGAAGCCAAAATTTTCAGTTACATTATCATGGTTCTAGTATTTGTTTTGATTAAATGGGTTGGACTGAAGAAGAAATCTGACTGATGAAATGTGAAAAACCAATAGATTATGGAACCATCATCATCAAGTTTGGAAGCATTTATCCACTTCAGAGCTGCATGCCTGGCTCATTTTGGAAACCCCCAAAACAATTTTAGGGTTAGAAGAAAAAGATTGTACAAAAAGTGGAAGAATGGAAATCAGTTTGATGCATTAACAAAATGAAATGCATACCCCCAAACAATTATCCATTGTTAAGGACAATCTCCATTTTATAAACAAAAAAGCAGTATTACACTGCTGAGAATGCAGTTTTTCAGGCCACCACTTGTACAGTGGCTAAGACATCTACCTGACAACCGCATGAAACCACTGCAACCATTGGGGTGTCAATTACATTCATTTCTACCTTGGATTGGTTATTTATAATGGGAGTAAAGGCCAGTACACGACACCAGAATCAAACGACAGTAGCCTAACTCAAAAATTAAAATCAAAACAACTTTAAACATTTCAAGACCGTCAGATGTTTCTAATCCTGGAGAATGAATGCACATGAAAGCAGACTTATAATAATTCAAAGTAGGGAATTTCTATGTATAGTGTCTTCCGACTTTCTGAAGGCAAACAAATCCTTATGCCTAACAAAATATTTATGCCCTTCATCCTGGGCAAAATCAAGTCCAAAACCATATTAGCAGATAACGTAACGGACGAGTCGTGCACCACGGACTTCCCGCACTCTCTGGCAATGCCGGAGGATGTTCAGAATGCTGTGAAAGCGCTTATCCACCTTCAGTTGTGTGAACTCTTTTATATCAGCCTCCACGATAAAAAATTCACCTGGAAAACAAACATACCACATTGAGATGGAAACAAATATTTTATAGGATTAATTTAACATTTCAAAATGTAACACCCCAATCTTTTTCCACCATCACTTCACCTTGGTGATGAAATATACATTCAGGCAGCTCCCAAGTGGTGCACCGGCATCACGCTTTGTCTTAAGAGTTCTGTTCCTGACCATTTTCTAAAATTAAATGCTGGAGGTAAACATGATTTTCTGTCACTGAAACTGTACAGCTGCTGCTGTTTGAAATGATTTGTCAAACACTGAACTAGAGATGCACAATGCTATATATCTTAAAAAATCTGTGGCTACAATTAAGACCATATTGTAAACCATGCAGATATTTTGCTTCATTTTAGTCCTATACTGAACTCAATAGAACAGAAGGGTGTATTTTATAAGGTTCACATGACAGCCCAACCTCTTCCATAAAGCCATTGTATTCTAGCCATTGACTTTCCCCAACTGCAGACCCAGATCTGTTTTGTGGTTCAAGCTCACTTCTGTCTTAAATCAGTTTTTTTACAGATTGAGGCCAGAATTTATATAATGTTACTTTAGTCATAAAAGCTATTTATAGTCACATATTCAAATTCAGTTTATACATCAAATTCTAAATTAAACTGCAGTATCCAGCAAGACAGTTTATTTCTTTAGCACAACATGAAGATGAAGAATATCTGTTGCTATACCTGTTTGCACTGGAAGCTTTTTATGGGGAAATTGAAATGTGAAACTATCCAGCCAGACCACAAATCCTTTATCCTAAATAATACTTCTAGATATTGCTGGATAAAGAAGTCCACCAGGCAGTGCAAATACAAATAGGATTATGTGGCCTAATCAGAAGAGTTTACAGTCTAAGGCCCCAATTCTGCAACTACATCTACATGGGTGCTGAATGTATTTGCCAGATTGGGCTAAATTTATGTCATGATGCAACAAAGGAGTAAGACAGGTCAAGGGTTAAAGCAAAGAGATTACATGGTTACTCAGCAAAGTCTACTGCACAGCATGTTGGGACTGAAGGTCTATTGTTTGATTAGGTATTTTTAAAAAACAAAATAACCAAACAATACATGTGTCTGAGTCACTGCTGATAGGCACTGCAGCAAACATTCGATCCCTGTCCATTTCTGGACGCCCAGATACTGTATCTGCAGTGACTAGTAGGGCCTGTTTTCATTTAAGGTTATCCAGTGAATGATGCTCGGTCTCCTCAGAAGCAGACTTCACTACTGCCATCTATACCTTTGTCACCTCCAGATAGATTATTGAGGACTCTGGAGATTCTGCTGGTAAAGACTTGAGGGGCTGCTAGGACGACGTGTGACACTTCCCAGAAGTACCCAGGGCTGTGACGCACCTCACTACCACCTGCCTTTAGCAGGAAAAAGCCCTTTTCTGTGACTGCCAGGGGGTCAGCTCCTCAACTTCACTGGCTACAGACAACACAAGCACTCCCCTCTAGGCCTCGCAGGCCCTGCTGTCACTCTACAGGTTAGTGATTGGCACATTCCAACCACCAAGCCCTCTGAGCATCTCCCTGGAGCATCCAGCCCCTGGTTTCTCGACACAGATTTGCTGCTTCCAAAGACCCTAGTTTACCAGTTACACCTCAGATCACCACTTCACTTAACCCACAGAACTTAGATAGGTTTATAGTGAAATCAGGTATAAGTTGAGAACAGAACAAGAAGCAATGGGCCTAAATTGCAGCAAGGGAGTTTTAGGTTAGACATTAGGAAAAAACTTCCTAACTGTAAGGATATATGAGCACTGGAACAAATTATCTAGGGAGGCTGTAGAATCTCCGTCATTGCAGATTTTGACAAACACCTGTCAGGGATGATCTAGATAATACTTAGCCCTGTCTCAGTGCAGGGGACTGGACTAGATGACCTATCAAGATCCCTTCCAGTCCTACATTTTTATGATTCTAATAGCAAGCAGAAGTATTGGAAACAACCATTTGTTTACATATAAAATAAAATCATAACATGCATTCTAGAGCCCAGACTTTATTAACTAAATCAGTGATACTCAGACCTCACTGGTACAGGAGCCAAATCAGCAATCAACATTACCCAAAAGATCCATTTATATATACACACATATATATTTATTTATTTATCATTCTCACAGCAAATAAATTAATAACTTAGTGCAAGTTGGTAACTTAAATGGTTAATAACATAGTAAAAGCATCCTGACTGGTTAATAACTTAGATTGGTTAATAATTAAAATCACACAGTGTTTTAATATCATGTGCTGCAAAGAGCCACAGGAGATACATTAAAGAGTCAATTGCAACATGCGAGCCTCAGTCTGAGTATCACTGAACTAGATACTCTTATATCTTGTAGAGTAACGCTCACCCAAAATCCTAGAAGTGCTTTATAGTCAGGTTTGCTGTGACTCTCCTTTCTTAAGACAGACATGTTGTCAGCTTGTCTCCTAGGTGAACAATTCAGTATGTTTCTTTCCCCCCAAGATATACTAGTCTCACCCTTTGTCTTTACTCATAAACTGGACACAACTGCTGTTTGTTTCATCTTGTAGATTTCCTTTCTTGTAGCTTTCACAATCTCTTATTTTGCCTGTGCCTCGGTATGCAGATAGGCATACAGTGTGAGTCATATAATACACAATACTCAAATGGCCAGACAAAGAGATAGGTGTCTGTTACCTCCTGCCTGAAAGGAACATTTCCAAGGTATGTCACCTCCTGGTGATCTGCCTTAACTCCAAGAGCTTAAGAACATAATTTTTAGTATAGATACATAACTCCTTAATATTATCTGTACATACACTTTACAACAATTATGACAACTTGTGACTAGGGGCTCTCAGTAGGGACTTTACATGGCACCCTTCAGTAAATTATTATGCATATATCTGACGCAGGGGATCCCTGTAAAACTCTATGCCATCCACCGTGCCCTCAGCCCATTGACACCCAGGGGTCCCTTGGTCACATCATGATAACTTGGTTCTATGCTGGCTGCCTATTCTCATAGACTCATGGACTTTAAGGTCAGAAGGAACCATCGTGATCATAGAATGTCAGGGTTGGAAGGGACCTCAGGAGGTCATCTAGTGAATTATTCTAGTCCAATCCCCTGCTCAAAGCAGGACTAATCCCCAGACAGATTTTTGCCCCAGATCCCTAAATGGTCCCCTCAAGGATTGAACTCACAACCCTGGGTTTAGGTCTGACTTCCTGCACATTGCAGCACACAGAATCTGACCCTCCCATTCCTGTAATAGAGCCCTAACCTCTGACTGAGTTACTTAAGTCCTCAAATCATGGTTTAAAGACTTCAAGTTACAAAGAATTCACCATTTACACTAGTTTAAACTTGCAAGTGACCCAGGCCCCGGGTCTCTGCCAATCTGACCTGGGAGGAAATTCCTTCCCGATCCCAAATATGGCAATCCGTTAGACCCCGATCATATGGGCAAGACCCAGCAGGCAGATACCTGGGAAAGAATTCTCTGTGGTAATTCAGAGCACTCCCCATCTACTATCCCATCTCTGGCCATTGGGGATTTTTGTTACTGGCAGTCGCTCATGGGCCTCATCCCATTGTAGGCAGTCCCATCATACCATCCCCTCCATAAACTTATCAAGCTCAGTCTTGAAGCCAGTTAGGTTTCTGTCCCCATTGTTCCCCCAGCCTAGAAGGCTGTTCCAGAACTTCACTCCACTGATAGTTAGAAACCTTTGCCTAATTTTGAGCCTAAACTTGTTAATGGCCAGTTTATATCCATTTGTTATTGTGTCCACATTGGCGCTTAACTTAAATAACTCCTCTCCCTCCCTGGTATTTATCCCTCTGATGTATTTATAGAGGGCAATCGTACCTCCCCTCAGCCTTCTTTTGATTAGGCTAAACAAGCCAAGCACTTGGAATCTCCTCTCATAAGGAGGGTGTAATATATGCTGATTACAAATTGAGAGTCCTTAATGGTCTGGGACCCAGTTATTTGAGAAATCCCCTTTCTACCCATGTCCCATTGAGGCAGGTAAGATTTGCTGGTCTGCTGCTGTGGATAGTGCCTGAGGGTGCCAGCAGGGGAACTCATCTGACAATGCCCTAAGTCCAAGTATGGTGACTGTGCACAGAATATTAACCATCTTGGCATATTTGCAATTTATTAGTTTAGACACTCACCATCTGAGACTGCTTTATAGCATGTCCAAGAGTCTCAAAAGTGACGAGAGATTTTGAATGCTTCAATTTTGGAGCACCCAAACTGAAAATTCTTAGAAGGGCCTAATTATCAGAACCAATGAGCATCTACCTTCTGAAAATAAGGCCCCTGTAAGGTGTTTCAAGTTGGACAACCAAAAAATGAAGGCACCCAAAAATCACTAGTCACTTAAGAAAACCTTTCCCCTTTTCTTGTACATTTCTGCTACAACATCCAGATGCTCTGATAAAAAACGGTTACTAATCTTTCATAACTGTTCTTCGAGATGTGTTGCTCGTGTCCATTCCATGTTAGGTGTGTGCACACTCTGTGCACAGCTGCTGGATATTTTTCTCTCAGTGGTATCCGTAGGACCGGCTCTAGCACCCCCTGGAGCCATACACGTATGCGCCGGTATAAGGGGTCCTGCCAGCTCTGCACCCTCTCGGTTCCTTCATGCCGATAACTCTGATAGAGGAATAGGAGGGAGGGTCATGGAATGAGCAGGAGCAACACATCTCAAAGAACAACAGTTACAAAAAATTAGTAACCGTTTTTTCTTCTTCGAGTGCTTGCTCATGTCCATTCCATGCTAGGTGACTCACAAGCAGTACCATCGAAGGCAGGCTTAGAATTTATGGATGTGCTGACTGCAACACCGCTCTTCTGAAACTGGTATCGTCATGGCCTTGCTGAGTGATGGCATAGTGGGATGCAAAGGTATGAACCAATGACCATGTTGTGGCTCTGCAGATGTTCTGGATTGGTATTTGCACGAGGAACGCTGCTGATGAAGCCTAAGCTCTTGTGGAATGAGCAGTCACAATGGCTGGAAGCAGAACCTTTGCCTGCTCGTAGCAAGCCCAGATACATGCGGTTATCCAGGACAAGATTCTTTAGGATGACACCGGCAGCTCTTTCATCCTTTCCGCCACTGCCACAAAGAGTTGAGTAGACTTGTTGAAGGGTGTAGTCCTTTCGATATAGAAGGCCAGGGCCCACCTAACATCTAACGTATGGAGCTGATGTTCCTCAGCAGTCTTGTGCGGTTTTGGAAAGAATACAGGCAGAAAAATGTCCTGGTTTTGGGGGAATTACAACACCACCTTTGATAGGAAGGTCGGATGAGGGCGCAGCTGGACCTAGTCCTTCAAGAACACCATATAAGGGGGTTCTGATGTCAGGACTTTGATCTCAGAGACCCTTCTGGCTGAGGTGATCGCCAAGCAACTGTTACAGGCAGTAAGAAGGAACTGAGAGGGTGTGGAGCTGGCGGCACCCCTCATACCGCTGAGCCAGTGCTATAGATACCACTAAGGGAAAAATCTCTGGCAACTGTGCACGTGGCATGCACATACCTAGCATACAATGGATATGAGCAAGCACTCGAAGAAGAATGAAAGTTTTATAAATACATGCATAAATTTAAAAAATAATACCTTTAGTATCCTTGGTTTCTTCTTCCAGGAATCTGTGGTAGAGATTTCTGACAGCAGAGCTCATAGATTTCATCGGCTGATGTAAGATCTTATATTTGCTAACCACTGCTTTATTCAAATCTTGAACAACTCCATTAATTTGATCGTATGTTAAACGACCCCGCATGTACCTGAAAAAAATAATTAAAAACTGGTAACAAGGAAATCACAGACTCGGAGCGCCAAAAGTCTATTTCCCTTTCTTTCTCTCCAATGAGCCCTAATTCCTAAAAGTCACACCCAATTAATAATTTCCTCATGCATTTATAAATACAAAAGCAGACAGTAGTTCACTTTGATAAATTTCTTTGATCCCTTTAATAGCTATGTTGAAAAAACACTTAGCATAACCTGAAAGAGAAAGTCCAAACAAGATGAAAAAATTGTTACATTAAGGAGTGAAAAATATCCAGCGCTTAAAGACTGCCAGAAACATTTTAAAAATAAAATGAAAAGATTGTGATTATTGCACATCCAGCTCATGCAGCTACAGAAGCAAAATCAACCACAGCTTCTTAAGAACAAGGCAAGCAATAATTAAACTAGAATATTTCATTTACTTTAAAAGATAATGGTTTGCAATTTGGAGAACAAAGCGTCTCTTCCTCTAATCTTCTAGGGTTAGTTACTTTACTTGTACTTGTAAGTCATGGTTGTTTTTAATCGTGCTGGCTACCTAGCTTTAAAGTTGGATATAGAGTTCTCCCTTCCCAGATTTTAAAATATTTTGTTAAACTGCTATCAACCATGATCAGATTTGCTGACAACAGGCTAGAGATATAGGTAACACAGGAAGACAGAAACAAAATAATATTGAGATATTAGAACAATTAATTGCTTGCAACCAGGGGCTATTCAGTATTCATAAAGTCATACATCGAGGGAGAGGAAATAAACAGCTCTGATACAAATTGGGAGACATTTATATAAAAAACAGTGAATCCAAGACAGATCAGAGCTAACTGACAGCCAACTTAATAAAAGGTAAACTTGAAAACCATTGCAATAAAAGCCAATGCTAAACTCAGGGAAAATATATATATAGAATTTATGTGGGTGATTTTTCAGCTGTTATTGCATATTTTGAAATGATGTGTGTTCTGAAACTGCCCTGCCATAACTTTTTCATAAGGCTATTTTGGAAAACTGTCGTTCACTCTCTTTCAGGTCTGAATTACAGTTATAAATAAATCAATTGTGAAAATAAAGCATAAGCCCAGAAAAATGCTGGCCATCAATGTAACTTACCGCTCAAACATTAAAAACTGTCATATTTACCTGCTGTTTTGCAAGTTCAGAAAAATAAAGCTACTATTTAACAGCAACACTCATCTCTGCCCTCTTTGTAATTAAAAATTAATTCTCCAAAACTTTGCAAATTGATTCAGCCCCATTCAACTAGACCTAAACTGTGCACTAAAGGTCCAATCCTGTCACTATTAACGTCAACGAAAGGAGGATTGAGCCCTTAACTTTTCTGCTATTGGGTATGTGGTTCCACTATGCCATCCATCAGCTGAAGTGGAAATCATTTCAAAACTCATATCTCAAAGATAACTCCTTCTCAAGCAACCTACAAACACTATTTTAACCCATTAACCATAAAAACAAAAAAGTGCAATTCCATTTCCAGTCAGTCAACACAGCCCAAACACTAAGTATTGTGTCCCGCTTGTTTTACATTTTAAAAGCTGGTAACACATTATTCCACATTCACTATCCTTTGTAGTGGACAGCATGATATATGCGATATTTCACCAAATAAGTATGATCCACCATAAACCATTCACAAGTTGTAAAATGCTGAGTAATCAAGCTCACAAGTTGAAATGTCATAACACAACTATGCAATATCTGTATTCTCACCCCCAACCCTCCCAAACACTATTTCGACTACTGTACATATGTTCCCTGCCAATAGATTCATGGACACTGAATACAAAAGTATCCCAACCCGAAGTTATAATTTTCACTAATGGTTGATGTAAATCTATGTTTATAATTTAAAATGCTTGACGTCAACATACTATTAAGATGCTAACGGATGATTCAAAGCTAGTACCAAAAGAAAGGTTCTAAAATTGTTACTGAAATAGCAAAGTTTTGCATATCCGTGCACAGGACCAAGTGAAACTTGTTCTTAGCATCTTGATTGCCTTGTGGTCTAGACAGACATTAAAGAAAAGAAGTGAGATTCTGAACTATGCATCTTAGAGGCACAACACAGAACTTACAACCCAGAGGTAGAGGTTACGGTGGCTTTAAACCAATCTTACACCCTACTGGTTTGGGGCTATCCAGAGCAGCTGTGGAGAATCCCCCAGCATCATTTAGCGCAGTGGTTCTCAAAATTTTGCATTGGTGACCCCTTTCACACAGCAAGCTTCTGAGTGTGACACCCCTCATATAAATTAAAAACACATTTTTTATATTTAACTCTATTATAAATGTTGGAGGAAAAGCGGGGCTTGGGGATGGAGGGTGATGGCTCGCAACCTCCCATGTAATAACCTCATGACCCCTTGAGGGGTCATGACCCCCAGTTTGAGAACCCCTGATTTAGAGTGTCTAAGTTATGGCAGCCTCCCCAGGATCTCTACAGTACTATCTGCTGTGATCCTAACCCCAACACAGCCTTCCAACCCTCAGTTGCACCCTCAGAGCCTGTCCTTGCAAAAAGAGTCTCCAGAGAACAGCGTGTGGCTGTCTGCTTCAATTTCTGAACCAAGGAATTCTCCCCAGGCCAGGTCTGCAGCTTTTAGAGTTTCTTTATGCTGCTCTGGCCCCTTTACCCTGTGTAAAAGGGGCTGAAGTGGGAGTGAGATTCTCATCCAGTTTTCCAGGCAGATGAAGAGTACTGAATGAGCATGTTCTTTTCATCTGCATTATGTGAGCTTTCAAGCAGAACTACCAGTAGGTAACATCCAAGGCCCTGAAAGCAAAAAGCCTGGAGGAAAAAAAAATTATGGAAATATAGAATGAGTCCCTACCCTTCTGTTTTAGGCAGTTGAAACATTGACAAGCTTACTATTTTAAACACTTTAATAGCCAAGATTTTTGGCTGCAGAACACTCTAGACTAATCAGAAGGTAGTAAGGCATGCACAGCTAAATAAAAAATGAGATGGGAAGCAACAGACATGGTGTTTTAGCATAGCCACCATTAACTCCATTTCATTAATTATGATGTCCTTATGAGTCATATTTCCTACCACAATGTTTCCCACCCAGAGAACCCTGAAACTTGACTGGATTTAACTTTTAATTCTGTTCAGTACCAGTTTTAGGAGGATGTAGAAAAATATGTATTTGTGAGAAGTGTCTGAGTTACAATCTAGTTTTGAAGAGTTTTATTACTATTAGTGCATCAGCACAGTGAAAACTGTAGCAGATTAAATATGAAACAAATGTTGGAAAAGAAGCTGTACTCTATCAATTTAATCTGGCTACAGAAATTAAATCTTTAGAAGATTAAAAAAGTAGAACATTCTTAAACAGAGCAAAGGCAAATCAATCAGCATTTTGAAATTAATGACACAAAAGTGTGAAACGGTATTACCATATATCACACCTTAAAAGTAAGTGACAGCCAACATTAAAGTCAACAGAAAACAAGTTAGAATTATTCTGTTAATGGGATTAAGCTATATTAGGTGCCAGGTTTCCAGAATCAGGACAGATATTCTAATTCCAAATTACCTTGTCCCTAAATTATTTGTAGCCAGTTATGTATCAATCAATGGCATTGTGATTATAGAAAAACAAAAACCAGAAGCCAATCACAAGCCTATGGTGATGAGATAATATGCGAATAAATAAGGAAATACGTAAGTAAAGATAAATTGTGCTCTATAAAAACTACACACAGGTTGTATAACTAAAACTACCTATTTTACATTCATACAATTATTTTTCATTGAAAAAACATACCACAACACTTTGAACTATATATACATATACACCACTGAAATGCAACCACATTTGGTGTGGAGGTGTGCAAATAACAGATAGCACAGAGCAGTTGTGGGAGGATTATGTACTCTATATTTAGATGGACTTTTTCTGTTATGTGATTGTAAACAATACCTTGCTTATATTCATTGACTGTATCTTTATTACTATACATCCTATTTGCTTTTTTCTTTACCTGTGAGGGAGAATTTCTCAAGTTACAAGAGTAACTCTGTGGCGTTTTTCTCTGCCTGATCCTCCCAACTGTAGGTAGGAACAAGCTATCCCCTAATCCTCTCATGTTCCCATCTGACCCTTGCTAAAATCCAGACACAGCAGGAACCTAAATGAATCAAGGTAACCATTATATTTTTAAAATCAGATTAATTGAAATTCTTCCATTGACTTTAATAAAGTTAAACCTCAGACCTATTAGAATCCAACAAAAGTGGTTATGTATACAGTATTACATTATACCTAATTAGTTCCCTTTTAACATCAGGCAAGAATCAGGATTAACAGTCTCATTTTAAAAAAAAAAAAAGCCATTTATTTATTACAACTGCATTTTTCCTTTAATCCACAATTTATCATGAACAGCAAAAAAAACCCACACCACTACTTTCCTCAAAGAAAAGCAATTAATCTACCACTTATATCAGAGGAACAAATTCTTCCAACAGCCAGTCACCAAAAACAAAGTTTGAGAGCGGAAAATATTTTTTCTTTGGTTACCAAGCTCTGAAAATGGGGACTTATAATGTATACCATGAACCTAAAAATGTCACAAACCCTAAGAAGCTTAAGAAAGAAGTCAAAGAACCACTTAAATCTGTCTTGAATTTAAAGTATATTGAGACATTTTACTTTCACTGAAAAAGTGTCCTGACCTAGCGTTGAAGTCTATTCCAGAAGTTTTAACGTTACACGTACATTTCTCATTGAAAGAAGATATTCTAAATGATCCAGATACTTTTAAATCTGTGCCCAAATGCATCCCATATCTTCGATATCTGCTGTTCTAAAAATATCAAGGTGGTGCAGATTATACTATGACAATTAGCGCCCTAAAAATATCTCCTGCATAACAACGCATAACAGGGCTGGAAAAGCAGCTGGATCTTGTCAGCTGATAATTCCCACAGCCTGTGGGAGCTCTCAGCTGTCACTGAACCAGCAAT